TTTTATGTCTGTGATCCATAACTACATTGGCTTTATTATGTGCTTATGTGTATGTATGTGGGTTTATGTCTATGTGTATAGTGTATACACATATACCTAAGCAGCATGTAAACAGTTACACATATGCATATTATATCTACAGTGTAAATGTGTATTACTCATGTGTGTGTATGTATAAGTGTAAATATGTATTGCTCCTGTGTATAACTGTGTATTACTCACGTTGTGTGTATGTATAAGTGTAAATATGTATTGCTCCTGTGTATAACTATATATGTATATATAATATACATATATAATACACACATACAGAACTGCAACCTGAAAATATTGAAACATTTGAAACTTCATGAATTAAAGTGCAGTTATCATAATAGCAAAATATCGTTTTTATCTCAATTTTGAATTTAAATTGATAAAGTTCTCTTGATTTATATTTTTAGTTTATGAAAGATATCTAGGTATGTACTATGAACTACTGTAAACTGTTTATGGATTTTGTGCATTTCAGAAAATATTCTATTATTCATAACAAATGATAAACAGAATAGGCAAATTTATTTTAGAATTATTATGCAATATATTTCTTGTAAATTGTATTGAAATTGAATTTTTCTGATATAGAATTAATATATGCTCATTTTGAAAAATTTAGAGAATAGAAAGATAAAATTTTAAAAAAGCTGGAATTAGATGAATTAGAAATAACCAATTTTGCCATATTTCATTCTGTCAGTAGGTTCCTATCTATTTTCCATGCATTAGTTTCATATTATATAAAGTTTCAAATTTTGCTTTCTCTTAATACCATGGGAGTTTTCCCATCGCTTTGAACATGATGTAGAAAAATAGTTTTAATGAGAACACTCCAGTTAATTACATGAATATAGGTTATGATTTATTGTTAAATAATTAGTTTATGAGTAATGCTCAGTGAATCTTTTGCATGCATCTGCAAGCTATTATTAATATTTACACAGACAGCAAGATTTTGTGAACACATGTATATAAGTTTATATTGAGATAGCTAACTTAGTATTCTTTAAGCTTATATTTAAGTATATCAAAACCTCTTTTACTTCTACTACTTTATTTATTAATTTTTGCATACAAGAACTGGGGTGCGGACCAGAGGGGTGAGGGGGTAAGAGTTTCACCAGAGACAGAGTGGGGAGCAGAACAGGAGGATCCACTGAAATATACTGCTGAGGGGAGCAGTGGGTGAGACAGAAGAGGCCTGCTATGCCATGGCCAAACTCAGGCCACAGTGGCTGGCAATCACTTGATAACGCTGAGACTTTAACCCCTGCACCACCAGGGAGGACCACTTTTATTTCTTAAATCAAAAATCTTGCAATGTATTTTTCATACTCTTTTGCACTTTACCAAAGAATGTTGACCATAATTTAAACACTCTGGGTGAGGGTCAGGTTTCTTAATACCTGCTGTTGGGGACTGGTGGAAACTGAAATCAGTGATATTGTCACTGGTCGCCACAGGAAAGTCCTCAGGCTGGGTTGATGGTGACAAAAATGAGGACTGTTACTGTTCTTTGTCTTTTCCCTCTGCCGACAAGTTAGACTTCTTTCTTTTACCAAATTATATTCTATTTAAATTACTTTTAAATGAACATCTGAATTATAGTCATTTCTACTCTAAATCTTACTTTTTTTTTTGACAATGTAAATTCGTTCTAAATGTGATCAACATATTTTGGGGAATAACTTGAAAATAATGCAAATGTTGGGTTTGTTCATGCCTAACTTTCTCAATGAGAAATACTGGGGTGAACTCAGAAAATAGCACTCAGCTGTGGAAAAATACAGAGACCACAGAGCACAACCCCCCCTCCCCACCACGGACACTCACACCCCTCTGAGAACAGCCTCGACCTCCCATCACCTGGTAAATTGTAAGCCACGGAATCCATTCAGCAGCATAGGTTTGCTGGCTCCCAGCAGCCCCCCCCCCACACACCCCTTCACAGCTATTCACAAGCCATATGCATTCCAAAGCCAACCTTCACAAGTGATATTGGGTGTTTTACAAGATAAGCATTTTGTGTATTTCTCAACAGTTCAATATGTGTAAAACTACAACCAGTTTTACTAGGTTTAGCAGTATCTGTGCCTCCAAAATTCACCCGTGGAAACATTATGTCCAAGATGAGTTGTACAACCAGCACCTTTGGGAGGTGACCAGGTCATTGTGAATGGGATTAGTGCCCCTATAAAAGAAGCCAGAGAGACACTTCCTGCCACCCCCAAATTGTGAGGACCCAGTCACAAGCTACTGCCTGTGAGTTAGAAAAGGGGCCCACTGTAAGTGGCGACCTCTATTGCAATAGAAAGCTGTGCAGTCACTCGTGCAATAAAGAACAGCGAGGAAGTCAAGTCTGTTGTTTATAAGCCGCCCAGCAGCTAGGCTAAGACGGCTGGGCAGCTCTTTGTGTCCTGACATTTTACACATTACTCTTGCGCACAAGCAAGTTTATGTGAGCTCTAGCCCAGTCCCAGTTTTCCCCAAGTCTTGCAGTTTTCATCATGCCTTTCCACAGAGTACAAATATATTTAGGAACACATGCCTCACAGTAGAACTGACACCCAGAGCGAGCATCCCTGCGCTCGGGAATTCTGAGAACTGTCTGTCCTTAAACTCAGAGACATGCCTAACTGTTGCTGAGCACCAGAGTTATTTGCTTTCTAGTTGTGGTGGCTCTAAGACTGACTTTGAGCAAGCTGGAACAATGGGCATCTCTAGAAGGTTCCTTTTCAGTCTTTAGGTTCTAAAGAAAGCAGGGACCAAACCCCTCCTCAATTCCCATCACCATTTTATGGCCACTGTGCCCTGATAGGTTTATTTTATTTTTACATATCTATATCTTCAAGTTATCTTAAGTCTTACAGTGATGATGTTTTATTATTTGCTCATTGTTCCTATGAGCATATAGACTTGAATGCAGGTATTTATTTCATCTGCCTTGTTCACAATTGTAATAACACTACCTGATGCAGTTTTGATCACAATTGCATTAATCTGCCTTTTCATCTGTCCACCAAATATCCCTTTTTATATATTTCACATGAAAACCTTCTCACAGCCACTCCCTAGCATAGGTCCTTCTGGAATGATTTGGACACATCCCCACTCAAACTTCTACTAATTTCTGAGGAAGTAGGTAAATAAACCACATCATGATTCAGAAACCAAACTTAGGCTTTAGTTTTCTGTGCTTTTTCGTCATTTTTTCTAAACGGCAATTATTTCCTTTAATGTCTAAGAATAGCTCCCTGAATACAACAGCTTGAATGGTAATGGAGAAAGGGCAAGGATTTTGACAAATTGACAAATGCCAATTAAACATGTAATTAGAGGTGCTAGCAGGGCAAGAGGAGTCAAACCCAAGAGGGCACCTCAGAGAAAGTTGCTAAATAAAATGGTATTGCCACCAAGCTGGAAAACTCAAGAGTTTCAGCAAACATGTATCTCGTGCCCCCTCATGTCAATGCTTGGTGTTAGAGCAGCAGGAGTGACAGGGAAAAGAAACAGCCTCTCCTGAGTGAGATATTCAGTGAGAAAGGCGTACTAGACACAAAGCCATCTTAAAAGATGTGCTGTTGAGAGGGATTACGTGAAAGGATGTCGCTGAGAAAGACGTGGAAGAGTCACGGGATTTCACGTGCTGGGTCAGCTACCTGCCTGCGCTCTCTCAAGCTCACTGCCCATTCCTCCTCTTCTTCACAGGTAACTTCTTCTCCCAGACCCCACTGCCCACAGGCTGGCTTTGGATACCAGGGAGAATCTGCTGGTCTTGGGAACACCCCAGCCAGGGAAAAGGCGAGCCTCCCTGCTCCCTCTCTTCGGCTTGGGCAGTACGCTGGCTGTGCTCAGGTCGCTGACGAGTGTCTGCCAGGCTCGGCTGCAGGGTGGGGGTTTGGTCCTGGGCTCTGTAATGCCCAGGCCCTGCCAGCGGGCGAGGCAGACACTCCCTGTGATGCTAACCCTGAAGCACTCCGCCCTCCTGCAAAGCTGCATCTTGGTTTTTTCAGTTACTCAGTGCAACAAATCTCCTATAGTAAATCTCATGTATTTAAAATGTCCGGGGTGGTTTCTGATGGTCTGTCTGATTACCTTGACTGAACAGAAGAAAACTGCAGTGGCCTAGCGTGGGAAGGACTGTCAGTAGGTTTACCTGTGGGCAGAGAAAGGTTAGAGGTCACTTCAGAGCAGAAGGCTTCTTCTGCAGGCAGGCCTTGGGCAGAGTCAACAGGACTCAGAGCAGCCAGGCTTTCAGGGTGCCTCGGCAGGGTCTGGAAACCCTCGGATCCAGTTTACCGTTCTATTCTGTCCAAATTTAAGTTACTTGGGACTCTTGGAAAGACTCACCCACTCAGAGTACCAGGGCTAGAAGTCTTCTTCCTTCAAATGATACACATGAGGACCCTAAAGCTTCTATTTGCCAAAAGCTTTGCTCAAGGCCACAGTTGGCACAGCTGGAGAATGGTTCTCCAGTGGTTTCTTTGACCAGAGTCATCTTTCACCAGCAGGTGGACCTGTGTTACCTCCCAAGCTTCAGTTCATCACACACAGGTTTTGGTAATCAAATTATGAAGCAATGTTAAGGTTTGTCCCATAGCAATAAAACTTCTAAATGTAAACTTATAATAACGATCCTGTCGCATATGCCAAAGAAATCATTTGGGACTGATTTTGAAAGTAGGATAAAGTAAACGAATAAAGTACCCGCTATGGTGGAGTCAGTTGAAATGTAGGCAACAGTGAGGCAATAGAATACATTCTACTGTGTAAGCAAAAATCAGAACAATAGCAAACATCACCCTCAGGCCTGCGGAGTCTGCTGTGTTCTCATGCAATTAGTCTTGATGAAATCCTACAGGCACGCTTCTTGTGTCCACACCAAACACTAAGGTTTGAAGTGAAATAAACACCTTGAGGCAAAGACTTTAGAGACATTATCTGTTTAATAAATATGATTGTAAAAGCAATAAACAAGAGCAATTATACATTACACTACATAGTATTTAACCAAAAATACATCAAAAAAGTCATTTTAAAATTAGAAGTAGTTCCGATACTATAAGAAAACTTTCATTTATTTTTTTTTAAATTGGCTTCCTATAAAAATAAGTTGGCAAATGAGGGATTTCAATGCTCAGTTGGAATCCTGGAAAACACAGAACAGCTGCCAAGCACCCCACTGCTTTCAAAGTTGCTGTTTGGAACTTCTGAAAAAAAGCAAGCAAACCTCTGCATTTTGGACAAGGAATCCAATTAAGAATAAGGCAAAGGAGAAAGTGTCGGCTGGATCGTTCAGGGGACTTGTGGATTTGGACAAACACTGCAATATCAGATGCTTAGCATGCCCTGAAACTGCCCTTCCCCGTCCTCCTCACCCCCCTCCCTGTGGCCTCAATTCTCCCAAACTCCTCCCAGTGTCTGGACCTGCTGCTAGTGAACAGGTAGGCACTTGGGTCTCTCCCATCAGAGGCTCTCGCCGTGCCTGCTCTCTGGGCTCCAGGTGCTATGGCTTAAGCGAGGGTTTCTCAAACCAGCACGCATCACAAATAGGTAATTGTGGATTTACAAAAATGGACCACAGGGTCCCACTCCTGGAACACGCCTGAGAGGATGCCGACCTTGCTGGTCAGGCACCAGGGACTGAGAACCACAGCGCTAGATCCTATGGACTGGAAGGCGCCCATGGGCGGTACCTTGCCTCTCTGAACTACAGGTGGGGGCAGCTGGGGAGAGGCACAAGGGGAACCTGCAGATGCTGGACCTAGAGAGGGCCAGCTTTGGTCACTTTGCAAACTGCCAGGCATCTCATGCCCACCTCTACTTTTAATCAGGACTTACAACACTCCCGTCTTCCCTGTGACTTCTCTGTTATTCATTCCTTCATTTATTCCTTCAAGAAATAAGTTTCATTATACCTATTCTAGGCAAGGCACTGTGCTAGATTAAGAGTGTCACTTCCTTTTTCATAATTTTCCAATTAAATGAACTGAACCGCGACTCTGAGGACTTCCTGTGCTATTTTGAGTGAGCTTCTTTTGCTTTCCAAATCCTTTGTTTTCCAAATTAAATATGGGAGCCTCCAACTGCAGAGGATCAATGGTGATATTTTCTGTGGGGTAGTGAGCCTGGCAGGTTGGGGATCAATTGAGCTCCGCAAATAGATGGCTGTGTGGGGCATAATCCATTCCCTAGGTTCGCATTGGGCATGCTCAACCACACAGCCTTCTGCATGACTAGCTTTCTGCCTGTGGCCTTGTTCAGCTTGCTCTGCCTGAGTTACCCCGGGCAGGGGTCCCCACCATTATTCCATATGTCTTAAGGGTTACCTGGGCACCTCCTGTCATACCTGTTGGCTGAGGGACCCAGCTCAGAGGAGACTGAGCTCTGTGTAGTGTTTCAAAACTGTTTCTATCAAAATTTTACAATGGGATTTGACCTATCCATAAAATTCCAGGGGACTCTCTGGAAGTGGTTTTATTTCCTTTTTTCCATGGTTGCCTGGGGAAAACTGTAACTTCCTCCTGCTTTAAGTCAATCAATTCCTCCCCTTTATATTTAATTAGTTTTCCTTTGCAGATACTATGATGTTAGGGGGCAGCAATGCACACCTGCGAAAGAACCGGAACCACCACCCTGCGTAATTAAAATCTCATCCTAGTGGAAGACAAGACCTGCGTATATTCTCAGACTTTGTGACACCCTGGAACAATAAATCCATGAACCTGCTTCTTCTGCGGCTTAAAATCACTTTTATTTTACAAACGGTTTTATTTTACTACGAGCGAAGAAATACTGGGCAACAGCAACTGTCACAGGGGGAACTGCCCTGTCATATAGAAATATGTTCAAAACATTTCCCACAAGAACCTTCTAGAATCTGACTGTGTGTGATTTTTTTGTTAAGATACGAGAACACCTCGACACATCTGTATCCTTTCTTTTCCAATGTACATGGCCAGGTTTGAATTGCTTTGCAGATATCAGCTCTTGCACACATTATGTGTTTCCAGGTGGGAAAAGACAAGGATATTTGAAAGGTGCTACAGAAGGAGGCGAAGGGTGCATGAGACTGAACCCTGGAGGGCCGTGGTCAGGGTGGAGGGGAGCTGGCATGCTTGCAAGTGTACAAAATTGACAGAGATCAGAAACTTGCGGGTGGCAGGGGCAGGGCTGGCAGAGGTGAGGTCATAGTCAGGGAACATCAGGTGATGTCCCGGATCTAGCAATATGTTCAGGATGGGGAGGCTGGAGCAGCTGAAGGATATCTTGGGTCTTGGAAGGAAGAGATACAAAGACATCAACAGATTGTGACCCCATGTGGACGGCAATCGATGGCGAGGCCAGACTGTGAGTGACTCATGGCATTGTTTTCTACCTAAGTTGGGGCAGCAGGAAAAGCTTCCAGGGAAGCAGCCATGGTGCCAGGGGTGGACAGGAAACAGGTCCACTCCTGCCATCTTGCCTCCCTGCCTCCTTCCTTCGCTATTCTACCTGCGTACATGGAACTTCAACTCGCTTCTTTGACCGTGGGGCCTCACAGGATGGAGAAAACAGCGTGGTGGCCACTGCTGGCCAGCAGAGCTACCAAAGGTAATGTGGGAGGGGAAAGGGCAATACAGCAGGTGGACCAGAGAAACAGCTCAGGGCTTCAAACCCCTGTGCATGTCTTTGTGTCTTAGGAAAGGGACTGAGGTGGCTAATCCATCCATCAGCCGGTACTGCTAAAATAGCTGTTAAATCTACAGCCAAGAATATTTCCAAAAATACATGCAGATTTCCTTGGCCTGTATATGTTATGAATTCTCTACAAACACGACCGATCAGAAAAAAGAGAGAAGAAAGGGGAGGGGAGTGTTTTCCATTAAAATAGAGCACCTGGACACTGCCCCTCCAAGTATCGTCCACATGCACAGGCTTAAAGCTAAAAACCCTTGTTGTCTGTGTCTGAAGAATTAAAAAGTCCCGATGCAGTGTTTGTTTGTTTGTTTGTTTGTTTGTTTGGATTTTGATTGTTTTTATTTTATTTTTTGTTTGTTTTTGTTTTTACTGGCGTCCTCCATTCAAACATTTACATAGGTAGGGATTTCTTTTGTGCTTTGATTCTCAGCAACTATGGAAATACTTCCTGGCAAAATAGGAAACAGAACAACAAAGGAAAGAAAAAAAAAAAACATAAAGTTAGTGGTCATGGAGGATGATGCACTTGACAAGAGCGAAATTCTTTCCTGATCAGCAGGTCGCCTGTAGCCTTTGGGGGTTTTCCTTAAATTGCAAATTGTGCCCCAGCAGATCCCCGCTTTGGCGTTGAAGGTGGAGTGGCTTGTCTTGCTCTTTGCAACCGGAGAGATGAGTCACCAGGTTGAGCAGAAGGGGAGGGAGGGGAGGGTAAAGCTACTCTCCTAAGAGAAAACGTGTAACACTTACTCATTTAATGACACTGGAAATGGAAAGGTGTCATAGACTTTGCAATGGGCTGGGACATGGTCCTGGTGAAGAAGGGATTGCTACTTTAATAAAGTAAACCATGGCTGGCTGTGCCTCATACCCGTGGGGATGGCACTGAAAAACCAAATGACCCACAAAAAACACACTTAGAAACTTTAAAAGTAAAAAGACAGGGTGCACGCTCCTATGAACTTGAAGACAGAAAAGGCTTTCTTTTTAACCCAAAGCAATTATGCATTTATCACCCTGTCTCCCAAATAAAAGAAAGTGCACAGTGAAAATTGGACACCAAATGTAGCTGCAGTTGTCATTAATACCTCCTGCACAAGCTAGTCACTGCATTAAATTTCCCTTTAACGCAGCCACAGAACCCCCTGTATTCATTTAAAGAGAACTCCCTGTACTCATTTAAACTGAGGGACTTATTTCCTTTCTCCCCCCCCTCACCTGGCAAAAATCAGATTAAAAAATCTTACGGAAGGGTCCTCTAGGTGTCTGCAATTTATCTCATTAGAGCAAAGTATGGGTGGTTATATAATATTTTATCCATTGTAGTCAGCAATGGAGGGTCTAGAGGGCAACCTTACAGCTTTAACTCCTGATGTCAACAGGCAGGAGACAAGGACAGCTATGGGGACCCCAAGGCTTGGTTTACCTTCCTGGAAAGCCACCTCTACAGTAAATAGTAGAACTGAGCAATGACACTCAGATTCCGCACCCAGCTGCTGAGTCCCGTGCTCCCCATCCACAGACAGAGAGTGAACTCTGTGAAACGGTCTGAAGTCCTTTTCAGACATCTGCCAGGGGACACTTCACAGGAGGGAGAAATCAGCTGGTTTCTAATAGTCTAATGTCTAAGCCAAAGTGGTCTTACTCAGGAAGCCTAGTCCCAGAAGTTCTGCAAACTCTACCTCATGTCCTCCAAATTCTAAGGTTCTGTGTCTTGAGAGGAAACAGTTTGTGTTTAGACTATTGCTACATTTAAACAAATCCCCCAGATGCCCAGGCGATCACGCCCCTGAAGTTATCACTCCGCAGTGTCCTGGAGTAGCTGGTCCTGCTTAGAGTAGCCCTGAGGACAGGCTACTCACATCTTATATTGTGCATTATGTTTTCTGTCCTTCCAGCCCTGCCTGACCCTAGGACCACCAGCTCAGGCCTTCTGGCACATCAATAGAGCAAATGCTTTGCTCTTCACCCATGATTATTTGAAGCCCATCATTTTCAAAAGGTTATTGCAAAGAGAAATATAAACTAACAAAGAGAAGAAAAACTAGATAGAAGCAAGAAGCCTTTTTTTTCTCATTCCAGTGGAAGGGAACAAGTGAGATCTCAGCTATTTCTCTCAAGGATGTTAGAGCAGAAGAAAATGGTCATGTCAAGCCAGAGAGGGGTTAGAGAGAGAAAGTCAGCCACTGATTACTCAGGCCAGAGAGCTGAGAGCTACAGGAATCATTTACCTATGAGCCGTGACTCCACCTTCTCATCTATCAGCTGGCCAGGCCTCCTCAGTCCAGTCTGAGGGGCAGGGGGCCTGCTTTCAGTGTGACTGACTTGACTGACCATCTCTCGTTCTTTCTCATTCTGCATCTGGGCATAAACATTAATCCCCGGGATCTTCCTAAAACATTAACAAAAACCATCACTTTTGTGCATGGGAGATGAGATTACTGTGACACAGGCTTCTGAACCTGCCAGGGAAAAGGGGCAGGGGAGGTATGGATCAGGGCCAGGTACCTTTTGAACTTGTAGATGACGAATACCGCTAGCCCCACGAACACCACGGAGAGCAGCATCAACATGGCGGAGCCACTGTGGGTCGGAGTGAGGTCCACCAGGGGCGCTGGGGAGAAAATGAGGCATGGTTAGGAGCAGAGACTTGGGCTGGGGCCTTGCCAGGAGAGGCTCATGGTTCTCCCAGAGAGGTCTGCGGGGCTCAGGGACCCCTCGCCTGACTACACAATAGGCTTGCCACATGGCTGGTGTGTGAATGTGCTTGAGTCTGTCTTAGACCATGGCATGCACCACTTGACCTCTCCAGCAAAGATGTGGAGCAATTCATAGCACAGACTGCAGCCTGCATGCCTGGATTCAAATCCTGCTCCACGATGTGCTGGCTGGGAGATCCTGGGTGAAGTGATTTCACGCTGATGTGCCTTATGTGGGGAAATGAGAATAGCAGCACAATTAGCACTGGATGTTTGTGAGGATCAAGTGAGTTAATGTATATAAAGTGCTGATAACGGTGTTAGGCACATCTTGTATTAAATATGAGTGTTTATTGCTATAGTTGCAGTTATTTGTAATGAACATGTACAGCACTGTAATAAACGTAATAATTAAATTCCCTATATTCTGAATGCAAGCTTTTCCTGCTGAGCAATGCACATCAACAGGAATATTTTTTCATGAATTATCCAATCCTTTACAGCACCATTCCAGGCAGTTGTCAGGGTAGAGGATAAACAGAGTCATGGAGCATGTTCAGATTGTTTTACACCCAGGAATGGATGGTTGTGTATTTTACAAAGCAACTTTCTGCAGTAGAGAGGTGGCAATCTGATTGTCCCTACAGTTTCCCACAGACCTGAAAGCTTTTCTGGGGAGTACCAGTCTCTGAAGTGCTTAAGTTCTCTTGGACCAGATTGCCACCTTTGCATCTACAAAGAAGTCTCCCTCCCCATAGGATGCAGCTCCAGAGAACATCTTTCTCCACCTCCAAAATTTCTTCCATATCAGGGTTAAACCTTTTATACTTTAATGACTTTGTTTGCAATTAATTTTCACCCTCTGAAAAACTGACATTTTGCAAACAAGCACTTTTCAAATATAAAAGACCAGCACATGTATACCATAGAAGCCTGAATTATCAATCTGTACTTCCAATCAATTTAACCAAAACCTGATGCCTGGGATGTGGGTGATCTTTCAGCACCATTTCTGTGACTTTTCTCTGTTGAAAGTCAAGAGCGCAAAGTTTGGGTCACCCAGGTACAAAGTGCACGTGACTGTATTGTGGATAAGATTCTCCCCACTCTGTCTCTGGTGAAGCTTCTCACCACCCCTACACCTCTGCCTTGTACCCCATTTCTGTATGAATAAACAAATCTTTAAAAAAATATTAAAAAATAATTGATTTTTATAAAGCCATACAAAGAATAACCAAGTGATACAGTTTAAAGAGAAGCTAGGATCAAAGATCACCATTCAAACGTGGATGGCACATATACATCCATATACATGTATCTGCATATGTTATATCTGTCTATGCATAAATGTGTCTATGTGCTTATTTATTATGTACATTTATTTTACTTTGGGTAGTAAAGTCCACCTTATTTCCCTCTGTCTTCCTCTCTTTCCCTAAACCCCACCATGAATTTCAAGGAATACCTTATGAATATTTGTGGAATTATGTAGTTCCATAAAAATAAAATTCTGCAATGAATGCATGCAATTCAACCACATGAAAACAACCATCCAATCAAAACTGAGCAGAAGAACTAAATCATCATGTCTCAAAGGAGGTCATACAGATAACCAAGAGAAACCTGAAAAAACGATCATCACCAGTTATTATCAGGGAAGTGCCAATCAAAACCACAATGCGATACCATCTAACACTTGTGAAATGGTTCATGCCAAAAAGATCAGATATTACAAGTGCTGGCAAAAGAGTAGGGAGAGAGAAGCAACCTTCACGGACTGTTGGGCTATAGGCTAGTTCAGTCTTTTTGGAATACATATGGAAGTTTTTCAGAACATTACACATAGATCTACTAAAGAATCCAGCAATCTATTGCCCAGTGATCTATCCAAAGAAGATAAAATATTAATATGAAGGGATACATGTGTGCCTCTTCACTGCTGCACAGTTTATACTGCCAGGCTAAGTGTGCAAGAACACTGAAGTGACTCGGGTGGTGGTGTAGACTCACAGAACACCACTCAGAATATTATAAAAAAGGTGAGCTCTTCCCAACATGGACAGGACCGGAGGGGATTACTCAGTGAAATAAGTCAGAAGGAGAAATACAAACTGGATGACTTGACTCAAGTGGCACATAAAACCTAACCAAAGGAACAGACAAAATAACCTTTGAAATCTGAGAACAGTTCTGTGAAACCACAGAATTGAGGCTACCAGAAGTGGGGGTGAGGGTGAAGCAAAAGGGTTGAGGACTAACAAGACTTTGTGGGTGTAGTGTGATAACTTACATTTGTACAGCTGTAAAACTGTACTGGCATCATTTAGGGATGGAAACCAAAGTTACCACCATAAACAAACAAGTAAAAATTTCACCCAGAGACAATATTTTATTTTTAATCTCACCCAGTCCTCATAGTCCCAAACCACTGAATTACTTTGAAGCAAATTCTGGTGTCATCGATTTTATTTGTAACTCTAAAAGATATAAGGTACCACCTCTGTCTTGATCTTTTGTTATCACCCTCACAAAAATAATATCAGGAAAGTATTTTAAAGTAATCTTCTAATGTAAACCCTTAATTTAATACAAGGGAGCAAATAGAAGCCCAAATGAGCTACAAATGCTTAGGATAGTTTGATGCGGCCTATTTTGATTAGCTAACCTTCTAATTTCCAATTTAATATTGTTAAATAATAAATAGGATCTCGGTGACATGAAACAACCAGGCAGAACACTAAATCTGTTTGAAAGGGTTGGTATCTCCCCATCACAAGTTTAGATCTTTCTGTTCTAAATCACTTCCATTTAAATCATCCTGGTAAACAAGCAGAATTGACACTGTTAAGTAATTAGCATGTTAGGATGGGAAAGTGAGCTTCTGCATCCTGAGTTCAGAAACGTGTGCTGTGGACCCCTCGCCATCTTGGCATCACTCAGTCATTTCTCAGAGGCAGCCTCCAGCAGCAGTGACAAGCCCAGGGCCACTGGCCTCTGTTCTGTGGGTGGTGTCCACTGGCTGATCTATGTCTGACTATAAAGAGGCTTCCACAGCATCTGTAGACCTTAGTTTGCCTAACACTTAAGTAAGTGTGTGTATGTTTTGCTAAAAAATGGAAACCTGTGCTAAATAGGATTTAGCTTGTTGTATGGAATTAGCATAAAGTAATCCCTCTCCAGTTGTAGCCTAACAAGGGAGAAGCTTAGGGGAAAGGGCTGAGAGGTTTATTTGCCATTATTCATGCACATTGTACCTCCAAGTCAGGCCTGACAAACGTTGTCCAAAACTCTTGTAAGGTACTCAGAAAAACATTGTTCTATTCTGTTCTATTCATATGGACCTGGTTTGATTATAATAGCAATAGCAGTAGTTATAGTAAAAATACTAGTTAAGTTGTGCAAAGTGGTTAACATGTAGAGAGTGCTAAATAAATAGTCATAGGTTGTTTCTATGAGAACAAACTCAGAACTTCATGTAAGGGGCACAGGAACCCATGATATTTTTATCAGATAAGATTCTGACTGTTACTTATGGGTGGAGTGAACCTCCGTTTCCTCGTTCAAAAAATGAAACTAAAATAGAGCTTGTTTTAGAAAATTGTGATACATCTACATAATGGAATGCTACTTAGCTGTGAAAAATACACAGCCCTGTCATTTGCCGAAACATTGTTAAACCTAGAGGTTATTGTGCTTAGTGAAGTAAGTCAATGGAGAAAGGCAAATGCTATATGATTTCACTCAGCTGTGGGAGAGGGAAAAAACATGCATATAAACTCAATAGTATAAAACAACAACTAGTGATTATCAGAAGGGAAGGGGAGGGAAGGTGGTACATGGACAAGAGGGGCAATTTGGCGAAGGATTAGGATTATACCTTCAGTGGTAAATATATCATAATATATAGATATAGATATAGATATAGATATAGATATAGATATAGATATATACACACTGGTACATCAGAATCTTACATAATGCTATCATGCAATGGTACTTCAATAACAGACAAACCAAAAAACAAGATGGAATTTTTAAAGCACTAGCATAGTATCTGGCATGTAGTCCACACTTAATACTTTAATAATTGTCATATTACTACAAATCATATTTCTGAAAGTGTAATCTATAGAAGAAATATTATGGAAAATTATGAAGGATGCCAAAGTTAAATGAACTTGGGTAATGATGTATACAGCACCCTCCCCCACCCCATCTAATGCCTCAGTGCATTAGAACTTCACAGCAGCCCTGCAGGAAAGAAACTCGATTGTTTTATCACCAATCCTTTGTAGACACAGGTCCCACTCTACATCAGTTAGGAAATGCATCACCCTCAGCAACACATTCTTTTATGCTTTGGCCTGTTTGGTTTATTTGCAGATTATAAAGTCAGCCTGGTGAAGTGGTACAAAGAAATGTTACTCCTGTTAGAATTCACTCTGGTTCTATCAAGGGTCTTTCCTGGAGAACTTCTTCCCGCACTATGATCCTGAAATGCTGAACTCTTACAATAGCTCTAATTCAAAGTTTAAATTTGCCAAGAAGCTTCAAAAGCAAGTTAACCATACCTTAATTTTCTTTTTTCTGTCCTTGCTTCCAAGATAGACCCAAGTCAGGTTTTTAGTTATCAACCTAGAATGTCACCAAATCCATATGTTCTAAATTCTGGTTGTTAGACATAAGGGTGATATCAAAGTGGTGCAGAGAAAGTTGACCTGGAGTGCAGGAAGGGTGTAGATGCTTTTGTTAAAGAGCACCTTGGTGGCCCGCTGGCCTTGCCTTTAGCTGAAATCTAAGCCCAATCATGAGTCTTAAGGATGGCATCTCCCATTTAGATAAACCCATGGTCCTGGAAGCTGGTTAAGGGGCAAGTTCCCAGAGGGCATAGTGACCAGTGAAACATCACTGCTAG